AAGGAATGTGAAAATCCCTTATAAAAGAATTTCAAAAGTTGTAAAAACAACTCACAGGAGTAAGGAAAACACTGCATCCCTTACTAGGATAAAACCATTTTGAAATGTTAGGATCAATCTCTATTGATGCAAAATTAATCCACTACACAAAATGAGCTGGAAAAATGAAGAAAATATACCATAATAAAGATTGTGTGACACACCAAAATTTACTTAGACATCTCTTGAATGCAAAAAATATTATGATGATAAAAGGTCTTACATAATCAATTAGAGTAGAACCATATAAAGGATTGTCAGCCTTCAAGCTGGTAATTGTAACAAACTGAATAAATCTCATGAGTTTGAACTTGAAGGAAATCATCGAAGGACCACAAAAGACTAGAGGGAGGGAGGGAGAATTATTCTCACCATAACGATCAATGGAATTATGACTAAAGATTGTTGTTTTCCAACATCACATCTCAAATAAATATCTTGCCAATAGGGTTCATCTTTAGAAATTTAGGGGCTTTGTTTGATACACCCAACTCAAAATTCTCAACAAGTTTGACATCCACACTATTATACCCTGCAGCAATGTGTGCCTTAAATGGTTTTGGATGATCACTTGCATCAAATATACTAACCACATTAAAGAGCATGAGTAAATAGATTAAGCAATTCAATAACTACAAAAATCATAATAATCAACCATAAAACCTTGACTCTCTCATACAAGCAACATCCAAACATTAAGTTCCTAAGGCACTTCTCAATCAAAATTCACCCTATTCATCCAAACATACTTTGTATAACTCATTTGCTATTCTTAAAATGTTAAAACTTCCCCAACCATGTTAAAGAGTATAGGTAAATAGATTAAGCAATTCATGTACAACTTGCACAACTCTACCTTAGGTGAGCCACACATAGGTCTGATCAAGATCAAGCAAATATTTTTATGACATTATATGGATTTTCACCTTTTTTTAGTGATTACTACTATTAAAATACTAAAATCCTATCCTCCCCTTCCCTTTCTATGCTCATTTTTTCACCTCTAATCCCCCAATTGGGTTGCCTAAGTTGAAGTGGAAACAACTACAATATCAATTACCATTGCTTTAGTTGTAAATTGATAATAACTACTTTATCTTCGATTTCGAGTTTCACCAAAAAGCATCATAGAAATATCAAATATCTTTATCAACAAAAATTATCGAATTTCGAAAAAAAAAATTAGAATCAAAAGAAAAAAGTAGGAGACCCAAAAAAATTAGTAAAAAACTTCAAGATAAAGAGAACTTGGGTTTCAACCAGTGATGCCAGTGAAAACAGAGTGGAACTCCTCCGTTAAAGGTCCACACGTCAACAACGCATGAATGAGCACAATGCTTCGAGTCTAACATGGCCATTGTCAATTTGATTTAGGGAAATAATAATGGAAAATCAAAAAAATGAAGGAAATTGTAAAGACAATGATGAAAAGAATTGTCACCTTTTTAACATTCATTTCAGCATAATCTCTACACAACATCTCCCTTTGAGCTTTTTCCCATCACCCACTATCCACTTACTTGCCTTAATGTTAATAATCCAATGACTTTGTCGTCTCTTTTAGATCTGATTATTTGGGGGAAACATGATTCAAGCACGATAAGAGAAGTAGAGAGAATAAGAGAAAGGGGAGAGCGCCAAAGGGTAAAGGAATTGGACTGGATATGGAAAGGAAAAAGAAAGAAACAAAAATGTTGTTAGAAAAGTGCAAATAAGGATGTCAATTTTGTATTTTTTTATTTAAAGATGTTAATTTTATTAATTTTTAAACAATGATGTTAATTTTTAATTTTTTATTTAAAGATGTTAACTTTTAATATTTTGATTAAAAAATTCATTTGTCATGTTATCATTATCATTTAATTGATCCTTAATTTAAAAAAGTTGAAAGTTTGTATTCTTAAATAAAAAAGTTGAAAATTGATATCTTCAAATAGAAATTTTGAAAGTTGATATTTTTAAATAAAAAATTAAAAATTAACATAATTATTTAAAAACTAACACAATTGACTTTTTTAAATAAAAAAATACAAAATTGACATCCTTCTTTACACATTTTCTCCAAAACATTGCCTTAGTGCTTTCGTTTCAACTCATTAAAGATTCAATTTTGAGTGGATTCTGAATTTCCTCTCCAATGTTAGCTTTTCTGCAAGAGTTTGTGTAACCTATGCCCTTATAGTTATAGGTGCAATAAATATATTTTTTTATAATTAATTTACATAAAAAATGTAAAAATTGATATTTATTCTAATTTCATTACCACATGAATGATTTTAATTGATTAATTCAAAATCAACTTTTACTCTTTTTATGCAAATTAATTACTAAAAATATATTTATTATACACTTAAAAATCCCTTTCTGCAATCCACAATCTGACTCCAAAGGCAAGCATGAAACAGGAAACAATCGAAAAATGATTGAACAAAGCAGCAATATTTTAACTCAAAAAGACCAAAAAAACCAAACTCAAGAGACTGGATGAAATGTCAGGGCAAAAGAGGAAAATCACATCGGGTTAATAGACTCAAACATTAAATACTTATTTCACCCCCTACTAAAAGTAAAGAGAAGAGCAAGGTTCAAGGATTAACAAGGAAACAACAAAAATATTTTTGTAAAAAGACCAAAAGGTCGAGAGTATAAGGACAGAGGGAAAAGGGAGAATCAAGGGCAAAATAGGAAAAAAACTGTGAGAGGTAGGACAATCGCTGTTCATTTTGCGAGGCAAATCTTCCTCGCATCAACTATTTTAGATATTCACTGTTGCAGTAGTATTGAAGAGGAAAAATTAGTAATAATCACAAAGTTTACTCGTTAGAATTGAATTCAACATGTGGACTTACTATACAAACAATTTCTTCCTCCAATGAGAAGTCTTGCATCTTCCCGTAGTGGCGGTGAAGGGAGTGGCAATTTCAGAATTCAAAGATTCTGCAAGATCCTATGCCGTCACTCAGCATTCAAAAAGTTTAGCTCAAAATTCCTATTTCTCAATTTTCATTTGAATTCATTCTGAACTCCTTTTTCATCTTTGCATTCAATCAATTGAAACTCTTCCATAATAAGCTCAAACACAGAGGCTTTGAGCTGCCACACGCAAAATTTTAGCTTAGCTGAGAATCAATCCAATATCTTCTCACCAGTTGAGAAAATGTTCCAGACGAATGTTCCAACCAAGTAGAGCCCAACGGAAATTTTGAAAACATCATCCCAAGAACCTGTGGTTAGGAAGAAAATGTCAAATGAATCAGCTATATCAAGAGTTGCTACAAAGAGGAGCATGATGCAGCTCGGAGCAGCATACTCTTACCATCTTGTATGTGCCAGGACCCAGGAATCAGATTTTATATTCTAATTAATTTCAGATAGTCTAACATGTATTTCTGGTTAAGTTTACTAGCAGCTCAATTCAAACATTAAAAGAGGGAGATCTAACCATGTTGTAAGATGTAACCAGTTGCTGCTGTTCCAAAGACCCCTGCCAACACTCCTGCCGTGTTGGATAACCCAAGCAGTACTCCCTGAAGCAATAAATACAATATAAAAGGTGAAACTGTTATTTGCCTCAGAAAAGCTTAAGGTTGAGTTTGGATGAAGGATTTTAAGGTGTGATTTCATAATAAGAAGAAAATGTGAAGAAAGGATTTTCAAATTCTTTCTTTTTTGTCAATGGCGGAGTGAGATTATAGTTTAGTTAGAGGAAAATGAGCAATTTGAACGAGGGATTTCAACATAATATCGAGGGGCAATATCTTGATGGTTTGAATATAGACTAGACTGCGAGAATGCATCAGTTCCGTAGTTAAGATGGATGAAAAATTAAATAATTGATCAACCGCATACCTAGACCAATTACCCAGAGCATCATGATATCCAAGTTTCAAAGTCTTGTGACTGGCAAGAAGCATACCTGATTGCATGCCATACAAAAAACAGCCATTGCTGGAGAGTCAACATGGCTCAGCTGAGTGAGGAAGAAAGCAGGGCCCAGAAATCCAATTGTTTGCATGATCTGCAATGGAGTACAGAGTAAGCAATATATTACATAAGCTTCCAAGGAATCATTACGAAGGAAACAATAGTTTTTAAGCGTGCAACAGTGCACAAGGGAAACAAAGGGCACATGAACAAAGGAACGTGCATTCCAAATGCCACCATGTAAATGTGTATCAGTCACAAAAGGAAAAAAAAAAATATGAAGAAGAAGAAGAAGATGATGGTGATGAGGGGATTATCAGATTTTTCAGAAGGGAAAGGAAAACAAAATATTATGAGAAAACTAAAGATACCTTGCGGAATGTAGTCACAGAGGAACCTCTGCTCACAAGTGTATCTGCAATCCACCTCCTGTATTTGCAGAAAAAGCCATTGTAAGCCAGGGCAAAACAGAAAAAAGTCTGGATTCCATTAGATTGAACTTCAGGACCTGTGGTGTTATTAGGAAAAGGAAATAATAATAATAATAATAATAATAATAATAAAAAAATAAAAAAGCGCCTCTATTAATACCACAATCAGAAGCAACAATTTCTCTTCTTTGAACATAGCTCAAAGAATCACCATATAATCCCAAAACCACTTCCAGCTTCAAAAGTTAAAAGCAGAAACCAGTTTCTTGGTTGCTTTAGTACAATTATGTTATATATATAGAAGTAAATGACACAGGACAGGACAATCTGTCAGAGCCTTGAAGTCCCCCTTACCACATGGACAATCAAGAGTTGCAAGAATAAATGGATTGCACATTCAAAGAACACAATGCCTTAATTGATGATAGTATGTTAGCATCAAGGTTGCAGAAAGCGCTAGGCGATGGTGGGCAGTTGCCCACAACCTAGAGTGCCTAGGTGGTTTTTTTTTTTAATAATAATTTTGTGATATAATTCTAAGAAAATAAGAAAAAAAAAATGTAAAACAATTTTAAAAATTATAAAACAAATAAAAAAATTAAACATTTTTCTATTAATTATCATGTCTAAAGAGCAAAGTTTAGGGGAATTACTTTGCATTTAATGTTTTTTTAATATAATTTTTATAATAAATTAAATGACATCATTTCATTAGGCTAAAAAATTAATAAAAGAATTTGCTGGGGCGCTTTAGTCGCCATTAAGTGCACTTAATAGTGCCTAGGTGTGCTTAATTGATCTAGGTGGTGTAAACTGCATTGAATTTTTATCTAGAGGCTAATGCAGGTAGAATGGCACTGCCTAGAGCCTAGGTGCCACCTAGGCCCACTTTTTAAAACACTGGTTGGCATCCTTGTTAGAAGAATAAATGTCCCCCAATTGTGACAGAAGTGAGACACGATCAGGGCCCAGACAGGTGGTTTTGACAAGATCAAACTCCAGGGATTGTTTTGACAGGTTCCTTGGAAACACATTTTGTAACAATAAGCTTCTTCTCTTGTGGCATCAGTTCAGGATCTTCCAAAGTTGTACTAGGTGCCTAAACAAAGAGGAGAAAATATAATAACAGAATAGAGTAAACACTCGTGTCAGAAGGTCTCACTATAGTAACAAACAACCGAAAGTAAACTACAACTACACTATTTGCCTTCAATCAAACATATTATGTGGACGATGTAAACTTCCATTACAATTTCAGCAAATGTCAAAATTCTGCGAAAGTAACATGTGTACTAAAGATTACCATAGTTTAAAAATGATTACCTTGTTTAGCCATACAGCAAACCAGACTGTTCCCAGAGAACCAAAGGAGAAAAAGACTGATGGCCATCCAAACTTATGTATTAAGAAAGGTGAAAAAGCCAGACCAGTAACTGAGCCAAGATACATACTGAATAATAGTTACCATACTCTTTTGGAAACAGGTTCTACCATGGAATTTTTGAAATAAACTTAATCACAGAAAATTGAAGTTATAGTTGCCAGAAAATTAAAGAACCAACCTCACCAATTCCCATGAAAGCACGAACAACAAGTAGGAATGGCAACCCAATATTGGCAGCAACAGGAGTAAGAACAGTAGCAATAGACCACCAAACTACGCCAAATGTCAGGACTGACTTCGCACCCACTGTGTCAGCCCATATGCCACCAGCAAACTGTCACTTTCGACCACAATCAGAGTAAAACCCAAAACAGTCTACTCATTCAGATAAGAACTGGAAGTGATCTTAAAACTTAAAAGAAAACATTGAATTAGGTAACCCCAGAAGAAAGATGACTGTATCAAACCAACAGTAGTTGGACTCCAATTGAACTCTGCCGACGTGGGCAGTACAGCAATGCTCATATTTACCAGAAAAACAAAATCTATTCAAAATTGATACAAGAAGAATTAACAAATTCCTTTATGGGAACCTAAATTAAGAACAAAAATGTAGCCGAAGCTTACTCTATCCATATTACACAAAAAAAAAAATGCCGAAAAACACAAAACCACGATAACCCAACGTTTCGGGAACTGGTCACACCACGGGATCGAACCCTCCAAATCCTCAGCACTCAAAACTATATCTTCTAACCCATCTTTATACTTCACCAATTCCCGTATCGACTCCGCTATTTCTCTAACATCTGCGTATAGTTTCCCGCTCCTTTTCTTGCCCGAATTCCATACCGAAACTTAGAAAACATGGAACCGATTGTGGACCCCGACCCGGAATTGGGTCCGAACAGGGGATTCTTTGCTCCTGGTGGAAATGTCGGGTGGGTTTTTGGGTTTATAGAGAGAGTGGAAATTAGGAGAGAAGAACGGAGCGCCAGCGTTCATGGCTACTGTTTTCCGTTCACAACTTCAGTGACAGAAGGGTTGAAAGATTTTTTATAGGTTGCTTTGGAGAGAGAAAATGGACCCGACTTTATGGGGATTAGCGCCGGTTTTCTCACGTGGCTGAATGGACTACCAGAAAAAAAAAAAAAAGTAGTCAACAAACATATTGGATATTATTCTCTTTCTTTGTCTTTTGTAGACAATGGGCTTCTGTAAATTCAACAAACTGAGGGCCAAAAATAATAGGGCCCAAAGTGTTTGCTTGACCCCATAACTCATAATGTGACGGGTCTAGATCTATTTACCAATTATGGTATGAGAGACAATGGGCTTTGAGACCATTCTAGCTTTTTTTGGGCCAGCGAGACCATTTCAGCACAATGAAGCACAATTTAATTTTAGTTCGATTTTTGAAGTCCGCAAAAAAAAAAAAAAAATTCCATTATTCTCTTCTTTGTTGTAAAAGAGTTGAAGTTGAGTTGACTTTGTTTTTTTAAATGTACTTTTGATTTTTCTGAAATTTGTTTTCAGCTCTTGAAAAGCTACAATTGCAACTACAAATATATGACTTTTGGAGTTGAACTATTGCTATTAAGGTTTTATCAATTTTTAATATTCTT